TGAGCAAGCATGAAGCGAAAGTGGAGAGGAAAAACTCCCCTTTTGGAAGGAACCTCTGGTAGAACCAGGCTTAACATCAGACTGTTTGAGGCGGGGAACGCAGTCAGAGTAGAGGAGGAATGACACTCTGATAGGGACGAGTTTGAAGAAGCACCATGGAGAAACCAGATGGAGCTTTAGCTACGATGGTGGAGAAAGGGATGGAGGTTGGTTGAATCGGGGTAATCTGGGTCAAAATCAGACATAGCGCAACCATTGCTTGTGCTTGCTGGGAAGCAAGCGGAGTCGTGAATTTGGAGACCATTTAAGATGAACTCTTGATGCTGATTGGGCTTTATGGAGGGGCGGTTCAAATACCGCCATTTGTTATTCTGTTTTATATAAATTTTATGTTTTATTATCTATTACCTTCCTGTCAGAAACAAGCTTATAGATTAAATGAAAGTAATTTTCAGTCTAAATCTCCCAGCGCGTTGGGAATAAATTCAGGGATAAGCTGTAGTTTGTATTTCCCTGAAGAAATGAGGGACATCACCACATGAATGAGGTCAGAAGGACAAAATGGGATGAAAATAAGGCCTGGATTCATTTAGCTGGGATGAAAATCAGCCTCTGGTCAGCTTTAAAGTCAGATCCTGAAATGCCGGTTAGAAAGTTATTCCTTTTATAAAAACACAGGTTCTCTCTAATAATCAAGAAATGTTTTACCCCCACAGAGTGTCTGGATGTTAATGTTAAAGCCTGTGCTTTTATTTCCCTTTAGATGAATGACGAAAGCAGCAGCTCCAGCTCCTCCTCCTCCTCCTCCTCCCGGTTGGTGGAGGACTTTGAAGAAGAGCTAGATGAAGAGGTGGACAGTGAAGAAGGGAAGAACCAGAGTGGAAGGGGCAGTCCAACACCCAGCCTGTCAGGCTTCGCCTCTCTGCGTGCCGTCATACGCATCAAACAGAAATACCAGGCCATTAAGAAGCGGCGACAGGAGATGGCCCTCAGGCTGGGGGCACCGGGGGCCCTCACCGGGGCTCCTGGGCGCACCAGCCCCAAAATCTTCACCTTCGACCCACTCACCCCCACCAGCTTCTCTGCCTTTCCTCCCGTCCCTCAGAAGAAGAAGCGAAAGAGAAAGAGACGAGTGATGTTTCCCAATGGCGGGCCGTGCAAATCCGTCCCCAAGCAGGAGCGCAGCAGAGCCACTTACTGTCTCTACCTGCTCTTCGCCATAGTCTTCCTCCAAGTAAGCCAGCAACAGCCCTCCTCATCCACACGGTTTATACCTGTCATCATTCTGAAACTCTAACCACATTTAAAAAGTAAATATAGAAAAATAAACATATACATTTCCTAAAACATTAAGGAATCCTAATCTACAACATATGCCTCTTTGAGTGGAGTCAATGGGAATAAAACCAAGAGTCACAGAAAGGAGCTTAAGTTCAAAAGTAAAAGGAAAACATTTTGTTGTTAATGAGCAGGAAACTGTGGTGATGTGTTTCGTTCAGATGGTGTGAGATCCGTGTTTGATTATTCTTGGTTTATCTGATGAGCTTTAGAAACTCAGCATAGAACAACAGCACCGATTTAACCCCTTAAGCCCGGCAGACTTCAGGGGCTAAAAATGTATATTTTCACAAATATATGAAAAAATAAACAATACTTTTCGTTTTATAGCTTTGTAAACAAATAAAATGAGATTTAAAATTCGACTTGACATGTGTGACCCTGCTGGAGTGGTATTCATTTTTAGCCACACCCCCTAATGGCCGGCATCATTGGAAACTAGAGGCTCAGACCTTTCCAAGGAGGGGTCGGAGGTAATTGTGCGACCGTTTCAGGTGATGTAACCAGCATGCGTTAGATAAGCTCTGTTATTCTTATTTTCTCTTCAATTTGGTTATTAGTATTGTGTGTTCAAGGGTAAATTTCACAGAACCAAAGGCTAAAACTCTTATGCAGAAGTTCTCCTTTAATGTAAATCAGCATATTTGTCTGGTTAGATTCTCCTTAGATTCAAACTAAAGCGTTTGTGGAAAAAACATAAACACAACTTATTCAGTCCAAATTTGCTTGACTCATAGTCGAGATGTGGATCTATAAAGTCGGAGGGTTCATCCAGAGTTTCGAAAGGGTTTTCATGGTGTCTTGCAATGTTTATTTTGGGAAAGAATTTCCTGAGGATAATTTTTTTCCTTCTTTTCTTTGTTCTATCCCCAATAAATCAGACATGGAGACATTTAAAATAGGGCTTCCACCTGAAAATTATTCCTCAATGCTTTTCTGTTATACAAATACAAACAATTGTATTTCCAATTTGTAGTTTGGGAGCTGTACTCGCTTTTACTCAGATATGTAATTTCAGGAATAATTTCCTCCTAAAACCCTCAGGGCTTCAGGGGTTAAGCATATAATGTTCTTTATTAGTAAAAAAGAGGTACCTTCCTTCTAGCTTGGTTGACAGACTCCTTTTGGAAAGAATTTGCTTGAACATGACAAGCTAAACTAAAAGTTGTTGCTAGGCAACAAAGCTTGTATTTAATCTAGTGAGGTGAAGAAGACCGATTCTTCAAACAAATATAGTAATAATAATGGTTAGCAATGCAATGTTGAGGGGGGGCATAGGTATTGGGATTAGATGCGCTAAGGTGCGGGCAGTTAGGTTCCTTCTATTTTCCTCATTTCAATTCTTTTTCTTTTTGTTGTCTCTGTCCATGCTTTTTTTTTCTACTTTCACTTACGTTTCTTTTTAAATAGAAATCTGTAAATGTCAGAGTAAATACACGTTTACAGGAGTGTTTTTCAATAAATATATGTGAAACAAAAAAGAAAAAGGCTAAATGTACAAAGAAAATCATAGAAATCTACAAAGAGCCGTAGATAACCTGGAAAAAAAAAACAGAAATGATCTCAAACGGCTCCAAGAAATGTCTTTAATATGATGCAAAACAACTCAAGAGGATTACCATTAAGTTCTGTCAAAAAAGAAAACAAATCGACAATAATAAGAGAAAATTGGACTCCCTTTTTGAAATGACCTCATGGTAGTTTGTTTTTGTACTCATACTCGTCATCCTCCACCTATCCCGGACTTCCCTCTCCCCTGACACCTCCTCCAGCTCCTCTGAAGGAGGAACGAGGCATTCAAGAGCCAGCCTAGGGACAGAGTCCCTCCACCTGTCCTGGATCGTCCCCTGTGCCTCCTCCCACTTTGAGGCCCACAGAGCATCAGAAAAAAAGTTGCTCTAGCCACCTCAGCTGACTCCTCTCGATGTGGAGGAGCAACGGCTCTACTCAAGCTCCTCCCCCATCTCTAAATGACCTGTATCTCTAAAGCCCCATTCACATTACCTTTTTGAAAACTGTGCCGAGATCGGTCTGAGCACCGTAACAGAGATAACTGTTGAGAGTAAATGGTACGAAAACTAAACCGGACCGTGCCAGACACAACCGAAGCACGCTAACATGGTACCAGTTCTCAGATAACAAAGAGCGCATGAGCAGACCGCATCATCTTTTTATAGTCAGCCTCCGTAATCATGACATTTCAGGCATTCATAAAAATACTAGCTTCCCTACCATGCCAGATGATTTCCAGTGATGATTCTGCTTAGCAGTGTGATGAATCTTAGTATCTGTCGTTGTTTTCTGCGCCTGTAAACCCTGATTAGACTATCGTTTGTTGTATCCACTTCCCAAAAGCCGACTCTGTCAAGCAAATCCACCAAAGGCTGCCTTCTTTGCCTGACTCTCAGCAAACAATGAAATATCACGCCATGTTGATTTGCTTGTTTACCTCTAGAAAGCAGTAGTACCGTAGATCAGAGATCACGGAATAGCGGATCGCGGTCTGGATCCGGACCCACCTGCTGGCTAATCCGGACCCAACTTGATTTAAAACATTTATAAATTACCGCATGTTGTTAGACGACAGTGTCTAATTTCACTTGCGCCGCTTCTCCTGTTATTACGGTAAAGCCCTCCAGAGCGTCCGGCTCCAGGCTACATGTGATCCAAATTAGCCAATGAGCTGCTGTCAGTCTGGGTTGCTGCTGCTGCTACTTTAGACACAGCAGGCAAACCTGTGGCAAGCCGGGCGATGGGAAAGAAGGAGAAGATGATGAGAAAAAGAAAGCAGAGAAAGTGTGGACTGCTGGAAGAACTGGAACCGTGAAACCGTGTTAGGGTGATGTGTAAACAGTAATAAGGAACCATGCTCGGCATGATTAACTGATCCACTCGGCATGGATCCGCATCAGAGGAGTAGTGTACATTAGGGCTTAAGTTTTGGACGTGAGCGCGGGAATGTAGACTGACTTATAAATTTTAATGAATCATATTTACTCCCCATGTAATTTATTTGAATCTAATGTGAGGAAAAAACTTTAACACGTTCTAGTATTTAACAAAATAAATTAAGAGATAAAGGTTTGACTCAGTTTGTTTGAAAATAACAATCTACAACAACAGAGAGAAGAAAAAGATGTATTTAATGAAAACAAGATGACTAAAATGTGTTAAAAATCTGCAAATGATGGTAGGAAAGTTCCCTGCCAACGTTTCATTGAGGAGTTCATGCTGAAAATAGCAAAGCTTCTGATGTGTTTTAACATGTTCGTATTTAAATATAGCCCCGACATTTTCCCTGCATGCTTTGTCATGCCTGGATTCGTTAGTGCTATGAATAGAGCCCAGTTATTATTCAGCAGAGTTCGGTTGATCCACACGTGATTAAGCCCTGCAGCAGCATGGGTGGATTACTCCAGTAAACACCGCCTTCTCCCCAACATGCAGACATTAATTACACTCATTAGAATTGCAGGCCTGAGATGTAGTTGCATAAATATTTTCAGCTAGAATGTTTCCCTTTCTTGCCAAAAATATTCATGCATCTGGTTTTCAATTTTATAATTTCCATACAAAAAAGTTTATAAATGCGCCCTTGTTTTAGAGGTTGTCTGCAAGCAGCATGATCGAAGCAAAAGCTGCTCTGCGAGCTGCAAGCACGTATGGAAACACTTTTAATTTAAATATAGGGGAAGTTGTTCTTTAAGTTTATCACGCAGGCAGCCTGAGGGAAGAACCTGTTTCTATGGCAGCTAGCTTGTATGACAAGTCTGTAGCAGCAACCTGAAGTTAAAAGTCTGTGTCCAGAATGTGTGGGGTCTGCAGAGCTGTTAGCTACCACCTTTTCCTGACCATTGAACGCTGTAAGGATGAAGGATGAAGGGAAATCATTTTTGATGTTCTGATCTGGTAACTTGCAGGGTTTTTTCGTGGGTAGAAGTTTAGAGAATGAGGTAACAACGGGTAAATCATAATCTAAAAAGAATGGAAATGCTAAAACTCAATTTGAAAACAGAACAGAAAATAAAATAAATGCAAAATGTGTATAAAAATCGAAAAAAAAAACAAAAAACATTTGATATCAATAAAATAAACAGTAAAAAAATACATAGCTAAGTAAAAAAGTTATTTTAGAAAAATGTTTCCTTCCCACAGTTTACAGGATTCCTCCTGGGTTATTTTAAAGACTATGTGGTCAATTTAAGGTAGAAACACTAAATACATTTAGAGGTGAAATCAGGTTTACAAAAACTAACCAAGAAATCAAAACAACCAAACAAAAACCAAAATCTTACTTGACTTTTTTCCATTTTCAACTAACTGGTCAGGTTGGTTTAAAAGTAACCGGTTAGGTTTTAAAAAGGACTAAGGACTCAAAGATTTCCCAAACAATAAGCTTTTCATAAGACAGGAAATTCCACTAAAACCAGCAATCAGCACGTTGACTGTTCATTCCCTCTGAATGAGGCTTTCAGCGAGAGACTTTTAAAGGGTGAGGTTTATGATTAGCAGGTTCGATTGGTCCACTGCTTCAGAAATCGACCAATCAGCATGTAAAATGGGCCCAGTGACCTCACAGCCAATCGCAGCAGTCCATGCGGCATGGTTAACCAGGGCCTGGTGCAGAGCAGCAGCTGATTCTGCAGCACTAATGGCCTTCAGTCAATAATGGCGAAGCAGGAAAAGGATGCGGATAAGAACATGTTTGGGAAATGAACTCGAGTCAGAAAAAAAACAAACAAAAAAACAATTCAGCTAACAATAATCATGGCTTTTCTATTCTTATCTATACTTTTGAAAAGAAAAAAAAAGTCTTCCGAAGCATAAATAAAGCAATCAATACTTCTGTGTGCCCTCAGATTTCTTTAACATGTGACTCTATCTCCTCAGGTGTACAACGCCATAGAAAACCTTGACGACCACGTTCTCAGATACGATCTGGATGGCTTGGAGAAGACTCTGAGGAGGGAGGTGTTTGGGCAGCAGGGGGCGGTGGAGGGTCTGCTGTCCCATTTTAAAGACTACTTATCCACATACGTTCACAACAAACCCTTGGTGGTGTCGGTTCACGGGCCTAGCGGTGTAGGGAAGAGCCACCTGGGGCGCCTCCTGGCCGGACACTTCCGCTCGGTGGTGGGGGACACCCTAGTGCTGCAGTACTACGTCCTTCACCACTGCCCCCAGGAGGCTGAAGCCATCCAGTGCGCTCGCAACCTCTCTGCTATCATCTCGGAGATGGTGGAGAAGGCCGAGGAGGAGGAGAAGATCCCGCTCTTCATCTTCGACGAGGCCGAGCACATGCACGTGGAGATCCTGGACGTGCTGTTGAAGCTCGTCGCCTCCAAACAGTCCAACGAGTACCTGAACGCCATCTACCTGTTCCTGAGCAACCTGGGCCATACGCACATCACCAAACACATGCTACAGAACTCCTCGAGTATTTCCATGGCGATGACCGCCTCTGGCCGCCATAGCAACCTCGTGAAAGAATTGACTCCAATTTTACGCAACAAGCTAGAGAAGCATCACCCACTGTGGACTGAGGCTGACATTATACCTCTTGGACTTTTGGAGAAAGATCATGTGATGGAATGCTTTTTGGAAGAAATCACTCGTGAGGGATTCTACCCAGATCACAGCAACATCGAGCGCCTCGCAGGGGAGATTGAATACTACCCTATAGTTGGAGGGCACCAATACTCCCAGACAGGCTGCAAGCAAGTGGTGGCAAAGGTCAACATGCTGTAACACTCTGCAGGAAGCCTCTGTTTTATTTTACATTCTCTTTTTCCAATGAAGAATAAAGATATAAGATCATGAGAGTGATGAAATATGAAACTTGAAAAAAACAGACCCAAAGTTGTCAGGAGAATCAGAGCTGGCCATTTACCAGACAGTTAAGCGTTTAGGAGCCAGACTCTACAATGAGAAATTAATCCTGTGAAATGTTTGAAAATATCCCAAACACTCCTTACAGGGTTGGTCCACCCAAATTACACAACAGTTTATGACTTACCACTGTATGTTTCCCTCTCCGTGCAATACATTTTATCTTGTGGTTTCCAAGGATATGGCAAATTTCAAAACATCACTGTAGATATTCACAGCGATGTTACTTATTAGGTATGAAATCTCAGGACTGAATTAAACTACCTATAGTTTATTGTATCATGTTATCTTTATATTTAGCCTGGTCTTACTGTATTTAAGCACCACTGCTGCATAACTTTTGACCCAAGTATTAGCTTAATTTGATATGTTACATTTTCAGATCAGCGCTACTTCTGTAGTGATGCTCCACGAGGGCTGTATGAGGGCCTGAAGGGGTTAGCTCAATGCTAACTGAGTCATGTGACTCAGAGCTCCCCTTTACAGCAGGCTGAGCTCCACTTGAACATGACAAGCTAAGCTAAAGTTGTTGCTAGGCAACAGAGCTTGGATTTAATCTCGAGAGGTGAATATAAAACATATAGTCTTTTTTTTACGGCACTGGCGGCTCTTTTTTCCTGACAGAGAGGGGGGGCGAGACATGTGGCAAAGGACCACAGACCTGATTCGAACCCAGGTCGGCCACATCAAGGACGAAGGTCTCCATACATTACGATTCTGTGCAGTAGCCGGTATGCCACCTGCACACCCATAATTTTAGGATTAAAATTTACTTAGACTTTCACTGAACAATTCAAATAAAGTATGAATTAGAATAAAACCAGTCAAATTTACACATTTAGAAATTATTTTATTCTTTGTTTTTTCTTACCTCCTCATGCGACCTTTGCTGACATTTTTTTTTTATTCCACTACGAAGCAAACCCACACAACTGTTTGATACTACATTGATCGCAGACGAGGGGAAGTCAACAAGGGTGTGTATTTGGGTCATTGTTGGTTTTGAATTTCCTTAAAACAACATTCAAAGCATTCGAGCAAACTGTTTTCTGAGGAAAACCACATCTTGCAGTTTGCAAAGTGGGCATAACATTGATGGCAAAAAAAAAAAAAGACAGAAAATATACTCCAAGTCATAATATTAGAATTTAGACGTATGTATTGCCAAAAGTGTTGAATATAAAAGCTAGGCTATAAAACAGTAAATCGGAGCCAACAGATTAACAATAGGAAGTCATAAAAAGTTCATATGTATACAAAGATGTAAAAAAAAAAAACATATACAGCTAATAAGCCGTGACCTTGGGCTCTGAATGCATTATGTTGGCTTTCCTTGAATGGAACCCACTTTGCTTAAATACATACAACTTTTATGTATAAAACAAGTTGGGCTCTCTTTTTCAGCCCAAATAATGTTCATAAACCGCCTGGATATACGAAATGTCGCCCAATTTGAACCAAAGTCTATTGATCTCTTAGACCATAAATGTAAAGAAAAATATTTTTTACCCATTGACGGCCATCCTAAACTGCCAGATTGGTAAACATCCCAACCTGGCAACAATGCATGTAAGACTGGAAACGTAGCCTTTAGATGCAAAACTGCACAGCAACCAATTTTTGTCAAAATATACAAACATAAATTCGCCAAATATAAGAGGAACATTGTAGTTGGGTTTAAAGAAAGCATTTTACTTTTATTACAATTTAGTTTGGTGCAAGGATTTTACGGCTTGAAGAAATATAAAATTACACCTTATGCAAACCGTCACAAAGATGTGCATGACAAGGAAGGGCTATATATACTGCATGCATCATTTAGGTAGTTAACATTGCATTACTTCTTGAGCTCCTTGAGTTATTTACTGTCACAGGTAGGTGCTTCAGCTAGAGAGTAAGTGTTGGGGTCCTTGCACGCTGAAATTAGAACCGGCCCAGTGGGCAAATGCCCGGTATCACAGATTACCAGTCCAGCCTGCATGTAGGATCCATGTGGAAAGCGCTTTCATCAAGATTTGACCCTCCAAAAAGCTATTGCAGTGGTTCTTGAACGATTAGACAACTCTGGCCAAGTTTCTGTGATGTATAAAAGAGAAATAATTTGAGAACTCCTTTCACATATTCAGTAATATTATTTAGTATAATTCAACCAAGGTGAACCATGGTGAATGTGATCTGGGTGGACTAATCCTTGAAGAAAGTAGGCAGCTCAAACAGAAAAGACTCCATGAAGACTGAAGGACATACGTTACTCTACTTCGTATTACCATAAAAATAAATGGAGACTTTCATCCAGGACCTACATTCCTTCTACATTTTTCTGATGATTGAAACCTAAAGTTTCACCACTCAGCCTGACCTGCAGCCATCATGCCTGAGAAGGAGCTGCGGACACTATTTTTACACTGCAGCAATGGGACATGTGCTTGCATCAAAAACATCTTTAAAAAAGAGCGTGTGTTTATTTATTACGCATTCAGATATGTTATGATTTACTGCAAGTTTACAGCCAAGAGAATGAACTTGGAAGGAGCTCAGACCGACACCAGCTGTTCTCATGTTGTTTGGTGGATCTGGGAGGATGGATTTTCTTATTGTTCGGTCATTTCCTGTGTCATAAAAATGAATTAAAATGCTTCATAAACATGGATGTTGTGGGATCTGCCTTGATTTAACTGACAGTGCAGTATATATGTCAGAGTTTGTCTCTAGGCTATTATTTTTATTTATTTTTTTACAAAACCAAACTTTGACTTGAAGCTTTGCAATATCACACATGTAAACACACTGTTGATTTAAAAGGTTCACAGTCCTTTGTAAACTCTCAGTATATACCTTAGAAACCTAGAGAAAATGTTAAGAGACTAAATTACAATGAGTTGACGTCTCGACATCTTTTTTCCGAGACAGTCATAAAGGTCCTTCAATGCTTTTGCAGCCATTTCAAATCATTCTGGATTCCCCTTTAGTTGCTCCGTGTTGCTGAGTTTATGAACACTATCTCACTTTATGACCTTACTGCTGTGCATTTATTTGCTTTCTCTAGAATCATTCTAGTTCCTCATGTAGAGTCATAGTCTTTAGTTTAAAGCAAGTTTGTATAACATATATATATATTGTAGTTCTGAAGTAAATTATGCACTACAGGACTTTGCATTAACCTTTAGGGACAGACTAACATTAGAAAAATGATGCAAAGAAAGCATCAAGGATATGCCTCAGTATTCACTTAGCACCAGATCCCTTGGTAAGGTTTATTCTGCGGGATTTCTTCACAGCCTGAATTTCTGTGTTTAATGGAGACTAGGCTGAGCGCAGGAGATGACAGACCATTTTCACCAATGAATTATTGGTATTTTAATTTGTTGCAGATCTTAATGAGAGAAGGAGGCACCGCAGCTGCTTACAAAACTAACCTCAATTGCAGTGGTGGAAAGTGACAAAGTACATTTACACTGCAAAAAATGTCAATCTACATAAGTCATCTTTTCTTGAAATAAGTGATTTTTTTCTTGAACTGAGGAGTAAAGGGAGACATTTTGCCAATGGAACGAGACAATTTACATTTAATATAAAAACAAACAAACAAACAAACAGTTCCATTGTCTTGTTTCAAGTGCATATTATCTATTTATCTTATTTTAAGAATGAAAATACTTATTCCATTGGCAAACTATCTAATTTACCTACCATACTCAAATTAAGGGTAAATACACTTAATTTAAGACATTTTTTACTGTTACTAGATCATTTTTCCAGTTTACTTCACTGTACTTAGCTACATTTTTTGAGTATCTTTACTTTAATGTTTTAGGGGGGTACTTCATTCATTTCCACGCCACTACATTTCAAAGTCAGATATTGTACTTTCTACTCCACTACATTTCCAGGAAGCTGCTAGGTACTTCTTCCTTTTGGCTCAGCTTAGCTTCCTAATTCAATTCAGTGTATTTCTGTAGCGCCAATTCACAACACATGTGATCTCAAGGCACTTTACAGTTCACCAAATGATAAAGTCAAATTGATGCAAAGTTTTCTATCTAAGGAAAACCAGCTGATTGCATCGACTTATTGACTCGAAAGCAATCCCTCACACTAAGTATGCTTGTAGCGACAGTGGAGAGGAAAAACTCCCTTATAAAAAGAAGAAACCTCCAGCAGAACCAAGCTCAGTGTGAGCGGCCATCTGCTGAGGAGACAGAAGCAGAGATACAGAAAGAAGCAACTGTCAACCAGCTCCACAGGCGGCCCCAACCAGGAAACACACAGCCAGGCAGGCGAGCTCTGAGCCAGCTCCCATGTCAGAGGATGAAGAAAGCACATGCAGCCAGTCACAGTCAGAGAAACAGGACTACACTGGAAAAACAGGCCAATCTCCAACATCTACAAACAAAGGTGTTGATGGCAGCAGCACAGCTGATATTTCTCTCCAGAATGGAGTCACAGCCAAACAGGAACAGGAAAAAAAAACAGAGAGAGCAGAACGTTAGAGATTGAACTAACAGATTCTGCAGAGTGGGAGAAAAGAGATAGAATGAAGCAGAATGATGGAATGGGGTCCCTATGTCCTCCAGCAGTCTAAACCTATAGCAGCATAACTATAGAGATAGCTCAGGATAACCCGAGCCACTCTATCTATAAGTTTAATTAAATAGAAAAGTTTTAAGCCTAGTTTTATAAGTAGACAGGGTGTCTGCCTCACGGACTAAAACTGGTAGTTTGTTCCACAGGAGAGGAACCTGATAACTAAAAGATCTGCCTCCCATTCTACTAATCCACTGTTGCTGTTTGTCTTTCTTGAAATGCAATTCGACATGGAAGATAGAAAGCCTTAGAAATGAATTTGGAGATTTGCATGACATTCCACACGTGTGAAAATCAGGTCAGATATTAATTGTAGTTTATTCATTTTATCAAGGCGTTAGTTGCTGCCAAGTTGTTCAGTAGGATGAGTTCTCACATCAGAGTTGTAATTTCTTTGTGGTAACAGATTTAATCTCTATTCTATAGTGAAAGTATGAGGAGAATCAAGACAATCCTATTTTGTATTTTGCATGTACTTTAGAATACTTAAAGGTATTGTGGAGGATTTTTGGGAATTTTTTTAAAAGACCTGCCCTCTCCAGTTTAAAAAGAAAATGCACGTGCAGGAGCGTGCACGAGCCCATTTCTCCTCGTGCAAGCTCTGTTTAAAAGTTGATGTTCTTATAGCTCATACAAGCTTACTGTGCCCAAACGTTCGCCCTAAATCCCCCAATAACTATATAAGTGGTGACTATATAGTGAACTTTAAAGTGAACTCAGCTACGGTTCAGACAGATGATCACTACTCTTTGCTCTCCAGTGTTCACGTAACTCCTCCTCTACTGCACCACTTTTGTTATTAGTCGCCCGCTGTCGCCACCTTAGGCGACAGAAGGCCGCTGTGACAGCAAATCCCATGATGCTTTGTGCAGAGAGCTCTCTGCACAAAGCATTCTGGGATATATCTTCTGAGGCCTTTCTTTTCTTCCCATACTTTTCTTAGACACTTTTTCTCTTCTGATCCTCGGCCATTTTCAAAGAACCGCGGTGTGAAAGATGAGCTTCAATGACTGAAATCTTAGTTCACCACAGATATACGCCTGAAAGAAAGCATGCACAGAAAAAGATAGCTAATGGGACAAGCACACAGGACGGCCTTACATAAACATTTTACCAGAATGATTGACAATTAGGAGGACCACTTATTTAGATGATCCACCCGGAAATAAAAGATCATCCTCTATAGCTTTAAGTATTTTCAAAGTACTTTGGTACTTTAACTTGAGTTTGACCAGGTAAATTTTACTTGTAGTTGAGTAACATTTGTCTATGAATAATAATACTTTCATTCAAGTATTTCTGTACCTCATTTAAGTGGAATAGTATTTTATTCTTTAATTGTGTTTTATTATTTTTTTGCTATGTTCAGCACTTTGTTTTCAGCAGTAGCCTAGACTTAGACAGCTTTTATTGTCATTGCTGTTTTAAAGCACTCTACAAATAAAGTTGGTGATGATGATGATGATGATGATGATGATGATGATGATGACATTATTTAATCCTTTATAAGATAAAATATTTTTCAACGCCTGTTTCTAAATAGAGATTTAAAAATAATAATAAATCTGATTTTAAATAGAATTCTTTATCTCACATTTCAAAAAGTAGTTCGTTTTCCATTCCTATATAATTTTTTACTTTGCATTTTGAAATCTCTTATGCAACTGCATTTTGTTTTTACTTCACCCTCCTTATTTAGTATTTAGGTAAATCCATAACAGCTTATTAACTGTTTAGCTTTAGCTTGTTTAAGGGTTTAGCTGCAGTTTATTTGATAACAGCTTAGTAACAGTTTACCATCAACTTTTTATCAGTTTAGTAACAGCTTTATAATAAGGATCAGTCAGGAAAGGAATAGTAAATAATTTGAAATTGAATTTTACATTTGCAGTATTTCACACTGGATTCAAAGCTACAATTAAAGATGTGCAATTACAAAACAACTCATGAAATTGTATTTGTAGCAGTAGGGCTATTGCCATAGTGTTTCGCTTGATTTATTCATGTAAAAGGCTTTATAATCATGCAGGGAGTTTTACAGATTATATGGACACTGCAATAAGTAGAACAGGAAAGAAAAAAAAGAAAAAAGGAGAAAAGATGAAAGAAAGGAGATAAAAGGGAGATAACGATAAAACTTCTTCTGTCCGCTTCATCACCTGTAAAGAGATGCAAAAAGAACAACACAACCAACATATATAAGAGATACAATAAAGTAGCACCTTGATAATGTCGTTGAAGTATAAGTAGTATTATTTAATCTGACATGTATACTGTGGTAACTGGAAATAAGAATATGGGCTTTCTACATGGAAGTGAATCTCTAAGTATCTGGACCCAAGCACCTGGAGTTGTTTATTAAAATGCACTTGTGCATGTAAAAGTTATCGAAAGGAAAAATGCTCAATAGTGGTTGTGGAGAGCCAGAGACCCGCCCCCACAAAGCACCGAGGAAGGTGCCGGGGGACCTGAAGATGGGACTCTGTTAACTTTGTATAGTTCTGACTGTTTAAATGCCACAAAGCTTAGAGTGTCCAGCTTTTTTTTTTTTTGGTTCATATTCTGTGTTTTTTTGTTCACCAGTTATGGAAAACAGGCAAACTTCCTCTAAATTGGCGTGAAAATTCAGCTAAAGAAGAAGGCAGGTGGCAAAATGGTGTCTCTTGTGGAAGAGCCAAAGTTACTTCTTTATTAAAGATGCTCCTTTTAATGCAGAAAGAGAGCATCTTGACTGTTGTATGTGCAGTGCTTTAATTTGCCTTTGTTTAATTATCAGTGAGTGAAATGGAAAGGTGCAAATCAGAATGCATAGTGCTATATTTGAAATAATATTATGTTTTATTCTAATATTATGGGCAAGTATAGACATGTCATATATATGAAATTTGCAGTAATTATTACATGTAATCACTAATAAAATATGTCTCACTTTTGATTTCTAACCAATACATTCTCCTTTTAGCATAATTAATTTGATTATTTGTCTAATTAGGCCAAAATAGATACTCTTAGTGGTCATAGAGAGACATGCCA